TAATTAAGAAACGCATACGCATTGCTCGAATCTTAAAGACCACACCCCTACTACTTTTTTGCATTCCAACAAATCCTCTTGCAGTTTTATACTCTTTGTTAATATCTATGTCTTGCACCCCCACCCCCACCCCCACTAAATCAATGATACAAAATTTTGTATCTTCTTTGGTAGGTTGCTGAGGGTTTGGTGTTTCTACATGAGAACAACATTGTCTATCGTGACCTGAAGCCCGATAACATCTTAATCTTCTCTCTCAATCTAGGAATGATGGTAAGTTTAAAGACCAAAAAACCTGCTTTGATACAGCACTTTTGCTAAAGCCACGAGCACTGGCAAATCTTCTCTGTACCTTACATATGTAACACAAAGTTTTTGCGCTGAATAAGGGTAACAGAGTACGCTGGCCTTATTTACAATGTTTGAAAGTCATTGTATATTGGCATATCTTGCAAAAACAATCCCTGAAAAACAAGTTGTGCTAAAAATTCAATTTTGATTTGCTCATTTAATAGATCCGTGTAATCTATCATCTTTCAATAATTCATAGTTAAAAGCAAGTTCTCGTAATCTCGAAAGCCCCGATGAGGGTAGTATAATAGAGGCAGTAGAGCTAAAAAAGATCTGTTAATCAATTAACTATTAATCAATCAGCCGAGTGTTGCTAGAGCTCACTCATGAGGGCAGTATGATAGAGGCATTCAATCTAAAAAAGGATCTAGTAATCAATCAGCCTCACGAGGGCAGTATAATAGAGGCAGTAGAGCTAAAAAAGATCTGTTAATCAATTAACTATTAATCAATCAGCCGAGTGTTGCTAGAGCTCACTCATGAGGGCAGTATGATAGAGGCATTCAATCTAAAAAAGGATCTAGTAATCAATCAGCCACATGAGGGCAGTATAATAGAGGCAGTTGTGCTAAAAAAGATCTATTAATCAATCAACCAAGTTTTTCTACAGCTCCTCATATCGGAGCTAAAACAAGTTTTTTAATGATACCCCTATAACTACTACTAGTGAAAATTACTTAAGGTTATGGTTTTTTATATAAGTATCAGTGTATTCACACAAAGTATACATATATAGTTGTTTTTGTGTGAAGCTGGTCACACACTGCGTTGATTATCGTCGGCTGATGTATATCCCATTTAAAACACAAAGCGCTGAGGCGCGTACCACAGATAATTTTTAGGATAATCAGGTTCGAGTCCCACACAAGAACAACTTGCGACTTTTTTTCGCAATTGTTTTCAAACATACTGAGTATTCAGTATATTTCCACGTGAGGTAGGGAAAAATTACACCTATAGATAATTTTTAATGACAATTTGCTCAATCAACCATTGAAAATCAAGCAGAGTGTATTGTGCCAGTCGTACAACACAGGGTGTGTCATGGGTATTTCCATACCTATTTTGTCATCATCTGATGAGAACCTAGATTATCAACCTTGTCTGCTTTTTTAAACAGATTAACGCAAAGATCGCTGACTACGGTATATCCAAGTTTACAACACGTTACGGTTTGAAGTCCAGTGAAGGCACACCAGGCTACAGAGCACCAGAGGTCATCAGAGGAACAGCAACATACAACACTGAGGTGAGATATGTTTCATGATATTGGCTGATAATTTACATAGTCGCTATTTATTAAATAATTCATCAATTTGTGATAATGTTAAGATTGTCATTTTGTGATGCAAATATTTTCATTTATCATTTTGTATGTCGTTCAAACCTTAATACTGTCTCTTATACACATCTAGATGTGTATAAGAGACAGTATATATGAAAATTAAATAGGAATAATTAAAAATGTTAGTTGATGCTTAGATGTGTTTGAGAGTGGAGAAGGGTGTTAATGAGGAGAGGTACTATTATCATGACAGGTTGTGTTTATTCTTTTGTTATTTTTCTTATTTGTATTATTGTTTATACTTTTTGATTTTTATTATAGAAGTGATGTTTTTGCCTTACCTAACATGTTATCATAACAAATACTCAGTACACTCCCAAAGCACGTGGGAAAAAATTTGCAAGTGATTCGGGTGGGAATTGAAACCCATGACCTAGATAACTAGCCTGGTGCCATAACCACTAGACTATACCAGATGTTTATTCTTTTGTTATTTTTCTTATTGTTTGTACATGACAAGGTGATGTTTATTTTTAGGGTATATTTTCTGTTTATTTTTAATTATCGTTTATACATAACAAGTTGATGTTTGTTTTGGTATTTTTTTTATTTGCATTATTGTTTATACATGACAGGTTAATGTTTACTCCTTTGGTATATTTGTCCTAATTTGTATTATTGTTTGTCTGTTACAGGTCGATGTTTATTCTTTTGGGATTGTTCTGTATGAACTTGTCACTGGTGGCAAGAAACCATTTGAAGATCTTGACTTTCGCAATGAGCTAGATGATGCTGTTGTTAGGGTGAGTTTTAATTCTTTTATGTTGTCGTCTATTTACAAGTACATTTTGGTTCACCAACTTATTTCATATTTGGTGATCATGATAAATTAATGATCTTTTTTATGTTTGTTGATAATTGCCCTAATAAAAACCAGAAATCTCATTGCCTGAGCAATGAGTATGTTAAATCAAATATAATTATTTTACTTATAATCTGTAAATTATTTTTTAGCATGTCAATCATTTTAATTTTTTATAGATGATTTTTAATTGTTTTTTGTAGGTTATGTTTAGAGAGATTTCACTCTGGTGTCAGACTAACAGCCCATTATTCTTTCTAAACGTTCCTCTAACCTGTTGTTTTGTACTTTATCATATTGTCTTCTGTAATTATTTTATTGCTAGTGTGTCAAATATATAATATATAAATAAATAAATATTATTAACAGACTCTGGTAATTAATCATTTGATTTGTAAAACTCCCATATCATTGGCAGTGGTAAGCCAGATTTTGATTACAGTAAATGAGTATTTTGCAATTTGTATTGTTTCAGGGGCGTAAATTACCTCCTTTAACAGAAAGTGATGTTGCACCATGGCCAGAGTTGCAGGAACTTATTGATCTCTGTCTGGAACACATACCAGAGAATAGACCTACGGTAGGTTTAATGTCTAATGCCAGGCACTGTAGGAGGTGTGCTTATCTCTGAATTTAGCCTTACATTTGACTCTGTCTTTAGCTAGTAAGATCCTGTATCAAGACCATAAAAGCAGGAAAAAGTAGGAAATTTGACGATGAAACACGGGGTTGTCTTTTACTCCCGTTATACAAAAATCATCAAAAAATCTTCTCAAACTCGGGGGTCGTCTTATACGCGGGTCGCCTTATACGCAAATATATCACGGTATCTATGACTGAAATGGGCTTCTTCATAAATTGTTTCTCAGATAAATGAATTCTAACATGATTTATGAGCTAACAATGTAAGTAAAAAGTACAGTATGCAGTGGTGGCTCCAGTGGGTGTGAATATCAAATTCTTATTTGAATGTTTAATAGAAATCAATCCACTGGGCAACTCTGTGGCAAATATACATCAGTAATAATTAACTTTGGTAGAAACAATAGTCGGGTTGTACCCAAGAATTGGCTCTGAGGAACTACGGTATATGTTTTTGATACCTTTTTCATTCTCTGAATATTAACATAAATCTTCTATTTGTTATTTTAGTCGGAACAAGCATATCAGCGTTTAAGTGCACCTGAGTTGTTGTGTCTGCGAAATACATTTCCACTCTTCAAAGGAGTATCTGTAGAATGTACTACAGTTAGAGTGAGTTTGATTTTTTTAAATTTGTTAGTGTCAAAGTGCAATGCTCCAATGATCCCAAGTTCGGAGATCTGGTTAAACGAGCTTTCTTAAAGCCCTGCCCATACTATCAAATTTAATTGATAATATGCCTAAATATGGTATTGATGACATCACATCACTACCATAAATAGGCATATTATGACTATATATCGGCCTAGAACACTTTTTTGTCAAAGAAAATTTGGTAATCTTGACGGCTGAGCTTCACACATCTAAATATTTTGCTGATCGTGTTTATACCAATGCCAACTAAATATCATGGATTTAGGGAGGCCTACTTACCTGGAGATTTTCACTTGCACGTGGAACTGTGACACCATCCTAATTTCCAGCAGGCACCTGTGACTTGCGGGAATCTTGGGCAGTGGTGGCACCAGGGGGGCAGGGCCATCAGCCCAGGACCCCCCGTCACCCGACTTGGACTTGGGATACCCGACATTCTCAGTTGGCTAAATTAAAAAATTTCTCTGTGACAGATATGTCAGATGTCAGATATGCTTAGAGTCTTTGTTCAGTTCTATCAAAATACAAGAGCGACTGATCACCGGTCCGCGCATTCTTCCACGCTTAAATACGGTACAAGCACAAGTTATTATATTGGGTTTTTGAAAGAGCTAATAAGATAATTAGTTTATTTGTACAAAAAAGATTATTATTTTGAATGTTAATTTGTATAAAATTAGAATATCTTAAAATTGTAAAAAAAAAAAAAAATTCTTAAAATTGGAAAAAAATCAAATTTCTTAAAATTGGAAAATACCAAGACGCGATTCGAACTCACAACCTTTTGAACACATATTTAAAAGACCACACCATCTATGCGATATGACCTATTAGTGGTAATGGCAGTAATGTACAATCCTTGCTGAAACCCCTGCTTTGTTTTGTAGGTGTAGGTGGCACCCTGGGGTCCAACTTAAAAAAAGGGCGATGAACGTTTGTTGGAAATCATCTTTAGTTTATGTGTACAAAATTGGTGACGC